TGCCAACGGTAAATACACTCGCATGCATCTTGCCGTAAGCTTGACGGACAAAAACGGCGGAACTTAAGAGCAATTTGCTCCATGCGCGCGATAACCTCTTGTGAGAGCGACGTCTGGACGTGTCATTGTGTTTTCAGCCCGTCGTGCCCAAGTTGGATGCTTAGCATCATTGCGCTAGTGGATTTGGTGCTGTGGGAAGCGCATGCTTTGCACAACTCTCGATTCGTGGGTAGGACTTGGCGGAGGTGTGTAGTGCGTTCAACACGACGAATCGGTGACATGCGCCACGGTGATCCACGCGGCGATCACCACAAACTGTGTCATTTCTCGGGCTATAAACCGCGGGTCGCAGCGCCTCCACGACCAGCGGCGTCACACTGAAAGGCGGCACGAAATGTGCACAATCGGAACGACGACGGCAGCCGGTGCATTGAGCGGTGGGATCGCACAAGTACTCACTTCAATGCCGTGGCTGCGCTCGAGTTTGTCTCTCTCGCGATTTTGCACCAATGCCTCCACGAGATTGCAGTTGTCATTCATTCAACTTTACCTTTTGCCACAGTCTTCTCCCGCGCCCTCGCTGCACTCTTGACTACTCCACCACATTAAGACTGCAGAACTTATATCTGTGCCCATCAAGCCGCAACGCCCTCCAAACGTACGTCTGTGTGGGGTGTGGGGGGGGGTTGTGGCGACCGTTCCGGTGGTTCCATGCGTAGGCACTCCCAAGTGCAAGTTCAAAGTCGTCGAGGACCTGTGTGTGGGCTTTCCTGCCATTCCCCATTCTTCAATTGAAAGAGATGCACGACGGCCGTCCCGCCGAAGGTTCGACCTCGAGCCAACATGCTCCAGGACAACCAGCCACGACCCTTATGAATCAAATGCTTTGAAACCGCGCGGCACACGCCATCCCGACGCTGCAGCTTCTTCATCTTCCGTGCCAATGGCATATCACGTCGATGCCTCGTTCGCCGTCTCAATCTTCGATCACCATGAAAACAATGGGCAATTGCACCAAGATATCCTCGTAGAAGTCATTCACCTAAATGAATCTCCTCACCTCTGCGTGTGAAATCGATGGTGGTCGAACAATATCGACACTCGAGGCCATGGTCGTGCTGGAATCGGGAGCGACGTGGACGTAGTTTCGCCATGAGGAAGCGTCGTCGTCTCCAAGCCACACAAATCGAGGGGTGTGAAGCTGTCTGTCGAGGTCACGAGAGCTTTGGGAATCGCTTCACGCTCAGTCCATGGGGGAGATCCAACGCCCCTCGCAGTGTAATGGTAGTTAGCCCAACAAAGTGACGGGGAAATCGATCTGCAACCACCGTGCCCTCGATATCGCCCCAACGAAGCTCACGATGGAGCTCTAGGCCTTGGCTTCAGACCGTTGACCCCTGTCGTCGTCGCTGTGCCAGGGATATGTCGCAACGGTGGAAGCGGAGCCTTGAACTGGTCCCATTGCAAGTTTGCACCCGAGCGGGTTCCAGCCACTTCAATACGCACAGGTCCAGTTCAATGTGAAAATGACGGGACGCGACTTCCGTCGCTGCCGCAGCACTTGTTTATCCGAGCTCATATTTCGTTTTGTTCCGTTGCCACAAGAGCAGCCATGAAAAGTTTGGTCGTCGTGATTGCCGTCCTGTCGTCAAGTGGCGCAGCGTCCCTTCGAGCCATCGATTCTCCGCTCAACGCTGGCCCCTCTGCCAGCACAACGCATAAGCATCCAACATCGCAAGGAGGCATCTCCCCCCTCGTGTTCGACCACCACGAGAACAACGGCATCGACACGCGCCGCCTCGTGTTCGACCACCACGAGAACAATGGCATCGACACGCGCCGTCGTTAGATGGCGGCTTGATGCAACTCTGGCGTTATGGGAGTTGTCGAGGGTGTCATCAACGTTGCGAAATTGTCCAATAATTTTGGAAATTGACGGGTTACCCAATCAAAACATTTTCTGCCTTTGTCTCAAATTTGACCGCATAATACGTGAGAATATTTGATTGGTCACACTGTATCCAATCGTTGGAATCCGTTCAACCGGTGCCGTTCCCTCCAATTTTCAAGCCATGCCGACGCTGGACATCCGCGGCATTCCCGTCGCGTTCCCATTCACTCCGTATGCGTCGCAGCTCGTGTACATGGAGAAGGTGATATTGGCTCTCGAGACCAAGCAGAATGCATTGCTCGAAAGCCCCACGGGAACGGGCAAAGTACGTATCTGGGATGCATCCACCACCGGTTGACTCTCGAGGGAATTGTAGACGTTGTGTCTGCTATGCGCGACACTGGCGTGGCGTATCCATCGTCTAAAGCAACTGAAAGCTGCATCCAAGAGGACAAAAGTGCAGTATGAAAGCATTGATGGTGGGGGTGCGGACGACGATGACGACAAGGCCCTGCGCGACAAGCTCCCGAAGATCATCTACGCCTCCCGGACGCATTCCCAACTCAAACAGGTTGTGAAGGAGCTCAAACAAACGCCGTACAAGCCCAAAGTCGCGATTCTTGGTTCGCGCGAGCACCTGTGTGTCCATCCTGAGATATCATCGATGCGGGGGACGCAGCAAAACCACACATGCCGCCAGGCCGTGCGCGCTCACAAGTATGATCCATTCTCAGCCATCCATTCTTCCCGTGACGTATTTGAGTATGGTAGATGCACGTATAAGACTGGATACGACAGGCAAGCAAAGACCAAGTCGGCCGCGTTGCCGATTCTCGATATCGAAGAGTTGGTGACGACCATGAAAGATCGCGAGGTGCCACAAGCGGCGTCAATTCCACCGCGCATTCTCTAACGGTGCTGCGCGACGCCAGGTGTGCCCGTTTTACCTGAGCCGAGACATGCTCGTCAGTGCCGACATTGTGTTCATGCCGTATAACTATTTGGTCGAGCCGTTCGTGCGCAATTCGCTGGGCGTGACGCTCGAAAACGCCGTGCTAATCTTTGATGAAGCCCATAACGTGGTAGTGACAGGACTTCCGATCTCCCGTTGCCGAGCAAGTTGCTGGCCAGTTGAGTCACGGTGTCTGGCGTAGGAATCGGTTGCGACGGATGCAGCGTCGTACAGCTTGTCGTCGTTGGATGTGCAGGGGTGTATCAAGGAAGTCGAAGAGTGCCACAACCTGATCGTTTCTGGGCGCATTCAGCCTGGCGAAGACACGTACTTGAATTCCCAGGTGACACCGGCCTCCATCGATAAACTCCACAACTCGTCACACGTCCGAGCTAGTCTGCGCTGACGCTCAAGAGTCTGCTACTGGAAATCCACACGGGGCTCAACACATTTCCCCTCAACGACCGAGGCGGGTGCACCAAGGTAAAACGCCGCGCCGTCCTCAGCCCTCTGTTCGTTGTTTGGGTCCATTCGCTCAAGATGGCGCTTGTTGTAGCCGGGCGCTTTCATCTTTGAGTTTTTTAACCAGTTCAACATTACATTCGACACAGCCCCGATGGTCGTGACGATCACGGAGCAAGTGATTGAAGCGATGAGCGATTACGCCCAAAGCAACCCACGCAACTCGAAACTCGACCAACTCCTCACGTTCTTACGTACGATTTACCGCGACAAGGAAAACCACCAGGCGGTACGTCGACGGCGCGTGGTGGCGACGATAGAAAGTCATATTTGGACTAGATGACAAAGCAATACCGCGTGCATATTCAAGAAGAGTACGTCGGCGCAACCACACTGCGACTTGTTTCGACCTGGTGGCGGTGGTGCATTTGGTCGCGAGTTCTCCGCCTGACCCTAGGATTTTTGTGTGAGTAGAACGGTCCGTCAGCCAGGTCGGATGCGAAATGCGTACAGCAGTCGACCGGTGACGTCGACGCAGCGCATGTTTCACTACTGGTGCTTCCATCCAGGCGTAGCGATGCACGAAATCATGGACAACAAGGTCCACAACATCATTCTGACGAGGTGCGTCCCCCAGCGCGACGTGCCTTGAACAATTTTCACAGTGGAACGCTGTCGCCCCTGGAGACCACCGTCAAAGAGCTCGGGATCTCGTTTCCCATTCAGCTCGAGAACGCGCACGTCATCGATGCGTCGCAGGTGTGGGTTGGGGTCGTCGGGGTCGGTGTGACTGGAAAGAAACTGAACGCGAGCTACGAGAGCCGCAACTCTCCAGATTACGCCGCTGAACTGGGCAACACCCTCGTCAACATCACTCGACTCGTTCCCAACGGCCTCCTTGTCTTCTTTCCGTCCTACTCAATTCTCGATCAGTGCACGGCGCAGTGGCAGCAAGTGCCCCGAGGAAGCGCCAGTGGCGCCGTGCCCATCTGGGAGCGTTTGGCTGTCCTCAAGGTAGAGTCTGGCCGTTTATTTGGGTTGCATGGATCTCCAACCGCCATGGCTAGCCTGGAATACCTGGCGCCTTGGGCTCGAGGGCTGCCTCTTTGTTGTACTTTTGAGTGGGTGGCGCGGTGGCCCTTTGTGTCATCGCAATCGATTCCGTGTCCAAGGAAGGAATGCGTTTACATGGTCGGTTCATTTGTGGTAGACCATTTTCATCGAGCCCAAGAA